CCCCGAAACTTTCCGGCGACCATATGACAACTTCCCATATATAAATCTTTACCTCCGGACCATTCCGGAACTCCTCGTGACGTCCGAGATCTCATCCGGGACTCCTAACAACATTCGGTAATCACATACAAGTCTTCCTAACAACCCTAGCGTCACCGAACCTTAAGTGTGTAGACCCTATGGGTTCGGGAGACATGCAGACATGACCGAGACGACTCTCCGGTCAATAACCAACAGCGGGATCTGGATACCCATGTTGGCTCCCACATGTTCCACGATGATCTCATCGGATGAACCACGATGTCGAGGATTCAATCAATCCATATACAATTCCCTTTGTCAATCGGTACGTTACTTGCCCGAGACTCGATCGTCGGTATCCCAATACCTTGTTCAGTCTCGTTACCGGCAAGTCACTTTACTCGTACCGTAATGCATGATCCCGTGATCAATCACTTGATCACTTTGAGCTCATTATGATGATGCATTACCGAGTGGGCCCAGAGATACCTCTCCGTCATACGGAGTGACAAATCCCAGTCTCGATTCGTGCCAACCCAACAGACACTTTTAGAGATACCTGTAATGTACCTTTATAGTCACCCAGTTACGTTGTGACATTTGGCACACCCAAGGCACTCCTACGGTATCCGAGAGTTGCACAATCTCATGGTCTAAGGAAATGATACTTGACATTCAGAAAAGCTACAGCAAACGAACTACACGATCTTTGAGCTAAGCTTAGGATTGGGTCTTGTCCATCACATCATTCTCCTAATGATGTGATCCCGTTATCAATGACATCCAATGTCCATAGTCAGGAAACCATGACTATCTTTTGATCAACGAGCTAGTCAACTAGAGGCTCACTAGGGACGTGTTGTGGTCTATGTATTCACACATGTATTACGATTTCTGGATAACACAATTATAGCATGAACAATAGACAATTATCATGAACAAAGAAATATAATAATAACCATTTTATTATTGCCTCTAGGGCATATTTCCAACAACTGCTGCTATTGAGTTGCTGAGATATGGCCATTATGTTGGTATGGAGAGTTTGACGGACCCGGTATCTGATATCACTCATGGAAAGGAGACCACCCATGTGGCTGCATGTGCGGATTTTCTTGTTAGTTATAGCTAGCTCAAAAATACTCTAGAGAAGATATGCTAAAAGGAAATATGTCAGTGATGGACAATGAAGAGCGTTTGAAGCATCACCCGCTGACCCGGGTGCTCCCGTGGCCTACACCCCCATGCAGCTCCGCGACACTCTTGGTGGATGGGTGATTTCGCGAGGAGGATGGTACGACGACAGCTAGGATGATTCTATAGAGACACGATGGCTCGGTCATCTTTGTTACGTACCTCTATCTGTTCAATTGTAACGACACATCGGAGGCGGAGATCCATGCTATTAAGATCAGTTTTGGTGCTTGCTCGTCAACATACGGAGCTACCGGTCATGGTTCAGTTTGATTAGTCGACCGCCCTTTCTTCTATTTCCGATTCTAGTTTAGATCGTTCGGATTATGGTCACTTAGTAGCCGAGATTAAGTCTCTAATGATTGATAGAGTATTTATTCCACAAAAACTACATAGGTCTCAAAATAGTGTTGCAAATTGTCTGGCAAGGTATAGTGGCTCTGAGCGAGCCACGCTCGAAAGAGGAACCCCATGTATTGAGGAACTCTTGCCGAGGGATTGTAGCTCTACCATAATGGAATAAACTACTATTGTTCTCTCAAAAAAATGTGGATGTAAATTTAATTTTTGTAGCTCATCCTAATTATAGCTATAAAATATTTGAAGATTGTATGTCGCAATACTACATGACAAACAAAGGGAAGCCTTACGGAGTAGGCCCCTAATGACACATGACCCAACTTCCAGGCTCAGAGACGCTATGATCTAGTTAGCTGCAATAAAGAAGAGTCGTAACCAATTGAAGTGGTGCTACCAATCAGACATGATTGTCCAGTCAGGCAGCAATGGAGCAATGATCCTCATTCAGTCTCAAGGCATCAGTCAGACCAACGACAAGTCAATTGATGGACGTTACAAGATGCATCTCCCACGACCACTATGATTCATCAACTAATGGTGTTACCTTGGAAATAAAAAATGACGTTACCTTTTGTAGTAATCGTATGTAGTAATATTCAGCCATCAATGTATCATTAACCATATTTGTTGTACTGACAGTTATTGCTGCTCTTCATGTCACACTCAATATAAGCCAAGGAGGGTAATAGGTGACATCATTTGTACTCATCCTATACACAAGGAAGATAACAACACACATGAAGTAGGGTATTATCTCCATCGTTGAGGGCATGAGCATGTATAATTTCTTGTGTATACACCCATTTGCATCTTTGGTAATCAATGTGCTCCTCTATGCACATCCCCATACGTATTGTCGGGAAAATAACCACGAGAGTTGGAATTCACTGTAGAGAATGACCATGTGATGGTGGTTAACATTAGCAACACTCGACTTATGCACAAAAGGATGATACACTATGTAGTTGTCACTAAAGAGAGCATGTGTCATGGAGAATAACTAGTGATAGTTAAGATTGACCCCGCAAGTGTGAAAGCAGGTGTCAACAAGCTCCTTTTAGGTTCACTAAGTTCCTAAAGAGCTACAAAGGATACAAAAGAGGGAAAATGAGACATGAGACAAACCTGGTGTTTGTCGATAAAAATACACAAAGAATACCAACAACTTACCAACCCAAGGTAAAGAGAGCAACAATATTGCACAACCATAAATGTCAACATCAAGGAACATCCCGAAATTCTCAAGTCCAACAATCAATGAATCATGAGGACGAAATCCGTAATCAACAACTACTTCCTCCCAGTTAGGACCATGAAATTTTCTACTGATTTTACCATATGGTATACCCTCAGAAGTGTGAAGGCCAGGTTTAGTATCCCTGCCCCTCTCCTCTGAGTAGCTAAAGACCTGCATTGCTCAATGTACTATGCAAGATGAGCCCTGGCATTACACATGAAGAACAAACAAAACCCAATAAATGAAAAATAACTAAAATTTTACAATTAATGTCATCAACTAATTATCAGTGAAACTTATCCAATTATGCAAAGTCACATTGAACAACAAACATGCATAAGAATAAACCTAGAGCTAATTATGCATAATAACGAAACTAGAACTAACTATACATCACCACACTTATTACAAAAATATCAACTCAAGAAATTGTTGAACTTATCTCACACCTCGAGTGCCACCCATCTAGGACCATAGTGAACTAGCCGGGGGCAAGAGCCATTTGCCTGTGGGAAGAAGGGCAAGCCATGGCTACAAAAACAGAAGAAAAAAAGAGATAAATTACTAATAACTGAATCAATAAACATGGTTTCATCAAGTTGAAAGCTATCATTTCATAGAATTGAAAGCACCACCAATTTTTACCCCATAAACTCCTTATCACAGAAATATAATGGAAAAAAGAAATTGAAAAAGTGAGAGCAATGGAAGTAACAAACTAACCACAACCCACATAAAATTAGGAATTCAACAGAGAAGACGATCGAGGCAGAGCAAGAGAGGAGGCGACGGCCTTCAAAGGACCGGGGGTGGAGGAAAAACAATAGGAGGCGACGGCGCGAGAGGCAATAACAAAGGTGGAGGAAACAAGTGTGGCAGCGGTGCGAGGGTGAGGAAGAAACACGGATGACGGAATACAGAAGGTAGGTTAAGAAATCTAAAGGCTTAAGGACTAAAGTGAAAATAGAAATCCTGAAACCGGAAGCTGGATACTGGAAACAAGAAACATGCATGGTCATCTCTCATTATACCACATGTCAACAACAGAGCGCAACGGAAAATCCTCTCGACGCACGAAGTTGCGACACTTGCCGCGCTGGGCCGCCATGCGAAGTGACCTTCGTGGGGTACCCTCTAACTAGTGATTTCGGTTTTATAGATGGAGATCCAAATCTCACTCCTATATTAGAAGAAAAACCTCCAGATTCAAAAAAACACTCAAATATGCTTTCTTCTCTCAAATAAAAGAATCACCAAGTATTCTCATCAAATTTTTTTATCTCATATAAAATAGAAACTAGATCAACTCGATGTCTATCAGCTTTTGTTCTTGTATGTATCAAGGGAGTACAATAGGTCACAAAGATAATCATAGTAGTAATACCTCAGAAAAGGTTCCTCTTCATAGAAAGATTAGAGTTTCTTTGTCTCCCATCCGCCGGTCCGCCTCGTCTCTGGTGGCCTTAGAGCCATGGGGACGCAGTGGATGTTAACCCTTGCCGGTAGAAGGGCTTTATTTTTAGATGTTTCTTCGAGTTTTGTTAGAGTTTGTGTCCTGCTCGAAAAGGTGAGACGTCAACGGCTTTCTGAAGATGGAATAAGGTTCTTTCCGCCTAGCCCCCACCTTGTTGGCGCGTTTAGCATCGTTAATGGACGTGTGAAGGTGTGTCTCGATAGATCTGTCTTTGATGAATTTGCTTGGATCTAGTCGTCGTTCGCCTATATTCGTGTGTCTTCAGGTTTGATCATTTTGATCTATGCTATTTTTCAATCTACGCTACTCTTCATTGGTGATTGTTGTTGTTCTGTGCGCTAATTCTATGGGGCCTGAGCACGACGACTTCCCAACTGTATATTACAACAAGTTTTGCCTGGCTCCGGTGAGGAAGGGGCTACAGCGGCGGCACGCTCTCAACTCGCTTTAGTGTTTGTAGTCCTCGCTATGTGGTCTAAGGATATGAATGTACTTTTTATTATTTGTGATGTTCATTATACTGCCATTATCGAAGATGAATAAATCAGATTTTTTCCAAAAAAAAGTACAACATAGTCATGAAAAACAATGCAGCGAGGACACAGGAAAGTTCTTTTGCAAGGTTGCTTGGTTCCAATTGTTATTAGTACATTCAGAATAGTGTTAAGTATAGCACTTAGCATAAACATAAGATTTACAACGAAACGATGCCTTTCAGATGTAAGCATCGACCAAAGTAGGAGGGATCAACAAGTTCGCCACAGACTCCTTGCTCGTGTCCTCTTTCTTCTCCTTTGAGCCCAGGGCCTCCTCCCGGACCTTCTCCAACTTCTCCATTACTTTCCTCTTGTTCTCTTGTCTGGAGGTTCTAGCTTCAGCATGTTCAGCCACCAGGAACATTGCAAAGAAGGCAGACGAAATGTATGCCAGGGTATCTCTGCGGGATGTCCTGCTGGCTACTTGGACAATGGTTGACTGCAGAAACAAGTGCTAAACTGATAAGTAACAGGGGCAGTTCAAGCCTCAACAGAGGTTAGTAATAATTAAATCACGCACGAAAGTGACAACCTTGACATGATAACTCTGTCTACAAGAGAAAATTGGCTTCAGTCCAAGTGTGATTAGATGACAGGATACACATCTTAACAATTTACGTAGAGATAAAGCAGGACTAGAATCGAAGTTTTGATGCTCTATACGTGTATATCTTCTAAAAAGTGGACAGAACTGTCTCTGCATCAGTTTGCACACAGCAACGAGTATATGCATGAAAACTTAAAGACTGAAGAGTTCGTTCACACTACCCTCAAATGAATACGCACCATACATTTAGTCAAAAAATCTAGGTAAGATAACCAGTAGTACTTCAACTAAGTGTCATGGCGTACTGTCCCCAAATGTTGGGGAGTACCATGACATTAACAATATAATCATAGTCTATAAATGTTGTAATTTTCATTAACTTATATAAGGAGTGCCATGGAACATCCTAGAAGTTTCTCTACTGGACATTGTATGAGTGAAGATCTAGTATGTTGGCTGGGGATCTGCTGGAGGACCAATACGGAAAGTACGTACAGGATTTACAAACTCTTACCAAGCTACTCATTCAACCTGTCAAAACAAAAACACAGGAATCAGTAGAGAAAATTGTAGGATGTTCCCTCCCTTTGCTCACTCGACGGCACGCTACTCTGCTCATATCCCTGATCTGATATTTGCAGAGAGAAGTGTGCTTTTCTGGTTACGAAACTTGTATCTCTAAAATTACTGTAAGCGGCAGCCAATCAAGCAAGGCATACAAAAGAGACACATCGGATCTATCAACTGGCTACTGCTAACACATCGAATCATTCAGAACTTGCCCCGGCTTACTATAGATTCGATGTGTTCATGTGGTAGAATAATTCTGATGAGCCGCAAAAATGATTCCTTAAATTCAGTGCGTACCTGGTTGTGTTTGCAGCTAAGCAGAGTAGCCCGTGACCTTGTGCGGGTGCGCCCATTTCTAGCAGGAGTAAGGCCGTGGATCTGAGAGGGCAGCTGCAGAGAAGTGATGGCCATTGTTGCTGCTCCTAGGCGAGAACCGAGAAGCTGGCGCGTGTACTGGTGGTGGTAGTGCCGTGGAAGGCAAGTGCTTCCTCCGTGGCTTTCTTGACTCTTCTCAACAATTCCACTGCCCACTGGAGGACAAACGCACGTTTGTCTTGACAAATAAGACCCTGCATTACGCTGTATTTCAAACAAGATTAGTGATTCAGGCAAGAAAAGAAAAAACAAGATTAGTGAGGAAAATCATACGTAAATAAAAGTGCACGAGACGGCCACGTTGCCATGCTGCAGTCAGCCTGGAGTGTAAACCACTCTGGTCACTCACACCGCGCACGAGGCAGACGAGCCAGCCGAACGGCGCAGCCGCACAGGCGAGGGATTCCGTTAAGCTTTCAACCTCTTCTGCGCAATAGACTCCATTTCGAAATACTGTTCCTGAATTTATTCATCTGATCCCGAGGTGTCAAACGGCCCGCTGATCTTCCAGACCCTAGCTCCCATATTAATATCCTTCGTAAACCCACCCCGCCTAGTAGCAAATCAAAGGATCGTCATCACACCATGTTCGCTGCCATGGCCATCCTCCTCTCCTCCATCGCTAGCCGGCTGAGGCTCCGCCGCCGGAACAAGAGGATCACGTCCTCTTCGGTCAATCCCCGCCCACCCTTCTTCTCCTGCGGCGGCGGCGGCGGCGACGCCCTCAGCCCTTTCGTGAAGCCGAAGACGACGAGGAAGCTCAAGGCGCCGTCGAGCAAAAGATTCACGGAGCATGATCAGGACGGCCGCACGGTGGACGACGACGACGTCCACGAGCCGTGCCTGTGGCGATGGGCGGCGGCTCCGGCATGCACGGACTCCGCTCCTGAGCCCCGGCCGTTCTTCGGAATTCGGATACATTGATAGGGCATGAGACGCCTTTCGACAACTCAAGGACGAACAACCGAAGATCTGCTCAGGATATCGACATTGATAGGGCATGATTCTCCGATTTTTAAATTTCCTCCTCCTGCTCTCAGATATCGCCGAGGCACTAGTTTTTTTTTTCTTTCCTTTCTACTAAATCACTCTCAGTCCCCGCCGTTTCCCGTCCCTGGTACTACTATCCAGTATGATTGCATTAAGATCATGTTGTTATGTTCTCTCTTGGTCCTGCGTAGTTGGCAGTATGTTGGAACGGAAAAACTGAGCATTTCTTTTACTCCAATGCGATGTACTCTCACTCTTGCGTGTAACATTCGATACAATCGTTGTCGACAAACGATTTGGCAGACGATAAGCAGTTCGTCCCCAGTGTGTGTTGGACGCATGCGTACCAGTGACGATTCCCAGTACACCAAACCTGGAGCTGAACTGAGCCACATATCTAACACTAGTAGAAAACAGGGTTTTGATCCAGGCCGGGTCAGCCCATTAGTCCCGGTTCAGTCTAGAACCGGGACCAATGTGGGCATTGGTCCCGGTTCGTGAGTCCAGGGGACCGGCCGGGCCACGTGGGCCATTGGTCCCGGTTCATCTGGACCTTTTGGTCCCGGTTGGTGGGATGAATCGGGACCAATGAGCCTCGCTCCTGGCCCACCACCATTGGTCCCGATTGGTGGCTTGAACCGGGACCAAAGGCTCCCCTTTAGTCTCGGCTCATGTCACCAACCGGGACCAATGAGGTGCCTATATATACCCCCTCGCGCAAGAGCAGAGCACAGTGCTCTGTTTTTTCTGGCCGAGGGGGAGAGGGCTTTGTGGTGCTCTAGCTCACCTCCTATGCACATGAGGTGTTCGGTGGAATGCCCGAGCCACACTACTTAAGCTTTCTCCTCTCGAAGCTCGACCTCCAAACTCCATTTTCCTCGAGATTTGTCTAGATTTAGCGGTCCGTCACGCCCCGTCCCCGTCTTCACCGCCGTCGATCACCCGCGCCGATCTCATCACCGACACCACCGTGGTGAGCCTCTTGTTCTTATCTTCTTTCTGAAAGGAAAAATATTCTTACTTGTATGTTTAGATAGATACTTGTATCATTTTCTTACATTTATTATTGCATATTATATAGTGCGATGGTTTTGGTATCCGCCCCCGTCGGCCCTCGTCCTATCTATGATTCGGATGTGGTATGTATATTATCTTTATAACTATTGGTTCATTTATTGTTTATGAAAATTATGCCGACCAACGTGACATAGATTTTATTTATCTAGGATGTATGTGAATCGGAAATATCAACCGACCCTATTGTCGAGAGGTTAAATTTAGTTGAAGAAGAAAACAATTTGTTGAAGGAAAAAATAAAAAAAATTGAGGAGGAGAAGATGATATTGGAGTTGCATGTTGCGGATGTCGTCGATGATCACAAGATCAAGATGGATGCAATGCACTTGAAGATTAGAAAGATTAGAAAATATGTCATTCATACCGAGGCTTGGTATTATTATGCCGTTGGATCAATTGTTACCTTGGTTACGATTATGGTCGCATTTGTTTTCGCATTGAAATGTTTTACATAGTTTCAATGTATGGTTTAATTAATTAGATGCTCTGGAGAGCTATATGTTGTTAGATGAGAACTATGTATGCACTTTGGTTTTAATGTGATGATGAACTTCTATTAATTTGGACACTTAATTATATATAATGCACGCAGATGAACCGGTAATGGATGTACGGTGACAGACACACCCGCGAGTACATTAAGGGCGTGCATGAGTTTCTCGATGCGACTGAGGCAAACAAGCAGAATGGTTTTATGTGTTGTCCATGCACTGAATGTGGAATACGAGGTCTTACTCTAACCGGAAAATCCTTCACTCCCACCTGCTTTACAAGGGTTTCATGCCACACTATAATGTTTGGACGAGGCACGAAGAAATAGGGGTTATGATGGAAGACGGCGAAGAAGAAGACTACGATGACAACTATGTGCCCCCTGAATACGGTGATGCTGCAACGGGGGAGCTGGTGAAGATCAAGAGGAACCAGACGATGTGCCCAATGATGCTGCAACGGGTGAAGCTGCTGAAGATCAAGAGGAACCAGACGATGTGCCCGATGATGATGATGATCTCCGCCGGGTCATTGTCGATGCAAGGACGCAATGCATTAGTCAAAAGGAGAAGCTGAAGTTCGATCGCATGTTAGAGGATTACAAAAAAGGGTTATATCCCAATTGCGAAGATGGCAACACAAAGCTCGGTACCGTACTGGAATTGCTGCAGTGGAAGGCAGAGAATGCTGTGGCTGACAAAGGATTTGAGAAGCTACTGAAAATATTGAAGAAGAAGCTTCCAAAGAATAACGAATTACCCGACAGTACATACGCAGCAAAGAAGGTCGTATGCCCTCTAGGATTGGAGGTGGAGAAGATACATGCATGCCCTAATGACTGCATCCTCTACCGCGGTGCATACAAGGATCTGAACGCATGCCCGGTATGCGGTGCATTGCGGTATAAGATCAGACGAGATGACCCTGGTGATGTTGACAGCGAGATCCCCAGGAAGAGAGTTCCTACGAAGGTGATGTGGTATGCTCCTATAATACCACGGTTGAAACGTCTGTTCAAAAACTAAGAGCATGCCAAGTTGATGCGATGGCACAGTGAGAACCGAAAGAAAGATGGGAAGTTGAGAGCACCCGCTGACGGGTCGCAGTGGAGAAAAATCGAGAGAAAGTACTGGGATGAGTTTGCAAAGGACCCAAGGAATGTATGGTTTGCTTTAAGCGCGGATAGCATTAATCCTTTCTGGGAGCAGAGCAGCAATCACAGCACCTGGCCCGTGACTCTATGTATGTATAACCTTCCTCCTTGGATGTGCATGAAGCGGAAGTTCATTATGATGCCAGTTCTCATCCAAGGCCCTAAGCAACCCGGCAACGAAATTGATGTGTACCTAAGGCCATTAGTTGAAGAACTTTTACAGCTGTGGAATGAAAATGGTGTACGTACGTGGGATGAGCATAGACAGGAGGAATTTAACCTTAAGGCGTTGCTATTCGTGACCATCAACGATTGGCCCGCTCTCAGTAACCTTTCAGGACAGACAAACAAAGGATACCACGCATGCACGCACTGTTTAGATGACACTGAAAATATATACCTGGACAAATGCAGGAAGAACGTGTACCTGGGCCATCATCGATTTCTTCCGACCAACCATCAATGTCAAAAGAAAGGCAAGCATTTCAAAGGCGAGGCAGATCACCGGAAGAAGCCCGCCATGCGCACCGGTGATCACGTGCTTGCTATGGTCAATGATTTACACTATATAATCTTTTGAAAGGGTCCCGGTGGACTAGCTGTTCCGAATGACGCTGAGGGACACGCACCCATGTGAAAGAAGAAATCTATATTTTGGGACCTACCCTACTGGAAAGACCTAGAGGTCCGCTCCTCAATCGACGTGATGCACGTGACGAAGAACCTTTGCATGAACCTGCTAGGCTTCTTGGGCGTGTATGGGAAGACAAAAGATACACCTGAGGCACGGGAGGACCTGCAACGTTTGCACGAAAAAGACGGCATGCCTCCGAAGCAGTATAAAGGTCCTGCCAGCTACGCTCTTATGAAAGAAGAGAAAGAAATCTTCTTTGAATGCCTGCTCAGTATGAAGGTCACGACTGGCTTCTCGTCGAATATAAGGGAATAATAAATATGCCAGAGAAAAAGTTTCAGAACCTAAAGTCTCATGACTGCCACGTGATTATGACGCAACTGCTTCCGGTTGCATTGAGGGGCTTCTATCGGAAAACGTCCGATTAGCCATTGTGAAGCTATGTGCATTCCTCAATGCAATCTCTCAGAAGGTGATCGATCCAGAAATCGTACCAAGGCTAAGGAGTGATGTGGCGCAATGTCTTGTCAGTTTCGAGCTGGTGTTCCCACCATCCTTCTTCAATATCATGACGCACGTCCTAGTTCATCTAGTCGACGAGATTGTCATCCTGGGGCCCGTATTTCTACACAATATGTTCCCCTTTGAGAGGTTCATGGGAGTCCTAAAGAAATATGTCTATAATCGCGC